GAATGGCTCCTTTTCGTAACAGCGAAGAGATCGTCTCAGAAACACAGTCGAGATTGTTCTGTTCCATCACAGAATGTATCAAGTTTGAAAACGAACCCAAATCTCTTCAGATAGCGAAAGGCAGATGAGATATCGATTTTCAAACAGCAATCTCTTCTGTCGAAACCTTCGGTTTATTCGCCACGATGGCAAGCAGGGAGGTTTAATAGACATCGGAGTTTCGCCCGGGGCGTGGTTGATCGTTTAGGTTAAAATCACTCTGACGAAATCTGCCGAAACCTCTTTTTAGACATCTGAAGAGTTGGACCACGATCCAAATCAACTTCTGATTTTTTTCTTTTTGGCCCACTTCCGACGCTTACTCCTTCAGAGAGCATAATATAGCGAAAGTGCAACTTTTCATCCTCCGTCTTTAAGGCTTTCATTTGTGGACAAAATGTCAACATTGAACAAAGTCTGAATCGGAACTGAACGATGCAATATTTCAATCTCGAACACTCCAGAAATCAGCACAAAAAAAAACAGCGGTGACAAGTTGTGGTTATTTTATATTACCAATGAAAATCGAACACAAACTTTTGTAATGATCTGATATTTATAGGAAAGGAACAGAGAAGCTATCTTACAACGATGGGAAAGTGGCTGAAGCTAAGATGTCAGGTCAGGACCAATAACATTGCAGATTCTTCTTGGTATTTTGTCAGGAATCTCTAGACATTACCATACCAGGTATGACAACGATACCCAATGCGTTTACAAGTGGTAGACTCATAAACATGTAAGATAGATTCTAGCGATAAAATTGTCTAGAACGATACCGTGGACCAACTTTCTTAGCACTCTGACCTAGCTAACTTAATTTACTGAATCATGGTAGACAATTTTTCTTACAGATTTATAAGTTAAACATTCATCTATGGATTGAATATTGCTGCCACATCTGGTCTGGTGCTACGTATTTAGAGATTCCTGAGAAAATCAAAAGAATACGCAATGTTATTGGTCCTGACCTGGCATTTCGGCTTCACTCACTTTACCACTGCTGTAACATTGCTTCCTCGTGATTTTTGTATAAATACTTTCATCGAAATTGTTTCATGGTAATTATTCTGATGAGCTATCCTCTTTGGTACCTAGACTTTATGAATTTAAGCGCAGTACTAGATTGGCAGCTAGGTCTCAGAATTTTACAGTTGAAATGGCTAGATGTAACCGTAAGTTCTATGCTAATAGCTTCTACTGTTGCACTTCTCGCTTGTTGGACTCTCTTCCAGTTTCTTGTTATTCAATCAACTTTGATCAGCGCTGGGGCACCACCAAAAAGAAAAAAGCTCATCAAAGCAGTTACCATGAAAATATTTGTAGAAAAGACAGAGGGAAGCCACGTCAAGTCGGTGAGAAAGTGAATGATGTCGAGATGCCAGGTCAGGATCGATTATATTGCAAATACTTCTTTGGATTTTGTCAAGAACCTCGAGATGTACAGCAGGAGTACCAGACCAGATATAGCAGCAGGATTCAATGCACGAACGAATGGTAAATTTGTAAATGTACAAGTTGGATTCTGACGAAAAAAAAAAAAACATCTGGCACGACCCAACTTTCATTGCAGGAGATGCAGCTATTGATTCGTCAATTTAAAGTTTACTTAATCTGAATTGAAACAAATAATAATTTTTTGTTTAAAATATCGCCGTTTATATAAAAACAACCTACTTCCGTGTTAAGACATTTAATGACAACTTGTTTTGAAAATGTATCTAGGGAGGCGATAACTGCTATAAAATTACATGATGAATGCAACGTAAACGCTTTTTTATATTTTTTTAATTACCTAGTAATAAAAACTGGCACTAAAAAATTAAAAAATATTTTAAGCATTCTAATTTTTTTAATTTTAGGTACTTTGGCTTAGTTACGAAGACGCTTGCTGAGGAAATGTTAGAAACTGCCAATAATTGTTAAATTTACTAGACTTTCTGCTCTTATTTTCTGTAATATCGTGTCCAGAAGTCAGGATTTAGAAAAATCGGCACGTTTATATGCGCACAAAAAATTCAAAATTCTTTTTAGGATACTGGAAGTCATTGAATTGTAGTAAGCTTTTCCATTTATGATTAGTAAATACATTTTTTATTTAATAACAAAATCACTTGATCGATACAAATTAATGCAAAATTTTAAAAGATTTTAAGTTTATGAATTATTATTATTAAAATTTCTTAAAAATGAAAAAAAATCTTGTAAATATTTATTATTCACGGAAAAAATGTTTGTCATACAACAATAATGTCCACAATATATTTTACTTATAAAAGCAATGAAAAGCTCTTCTAATTAAATAATGTCTTAGTTTTAAATGCATTTTTTTATAATTCAGTGCAGATTTTCTGTAAGTTATGGTCCTGTTTGACCAAAAACCTGGTGATCTAACTTCTCTGATGACTTGTCCTTATAAGTAATATAAACCTTTATCGCTATAGGCATGAATTTCCCGAAATTTCATAAAATTAAATAAGTTGGGGGACTTTCTCAAAATAAATATTTTCTAATATAATGTTATTCAGTTGTAAATAAGTTCTAAAAGTTTCATTAAAATCGGACAATTATCTGATTTTTGCAAGAATTTCCAATTAAATGTTTTTCACTGTAAAAAGACGCTAAAATTTCCCAGACTAATTTAGGGCACAACGTCGACAAGTGAAACAAGATTTTTAAACAAAATTTCGAAGCTTCTAAAAGGATTGAAAAATATAATTTAATAATCAAAAAATCTTTTGGTCTATCCTCTTAATAATAACAAAGATTTTGCTAAAAGTTTTTTTTATTAAGTTTGGGTCATTTTTCATCATGGTATGATTATTTTTAGCGAATCTGTCGATATCAGATAGATATATGGACGAAATACAAATGTGTAAGACAAATAGCTGCAATAATGGCCAAATCCCAAATTTCCAGGAACCGGTTCTTTAAAGGCAGATAATCTTTACGAACCTATTCTGTCTATTTTCTTTTCAATCTGAGAATTGAAACAAACCGTTTTGATAATTTGCTAGAAAACATTTATTCATTAAGATATTTTTAGATTGAAATTTTGTTCTCATATTTCTGTTCAGAAGTATGATGCTTTTTGACTGGAGTGTCATCAATTGTGTCATGGTTTCTGAGCCATATTCAGACTGAATCTCTATAGTCCCAGAAATCCAGTGAAAGATCTATCAGATTTATTACTAGAAGATTTGCCACAGTTTTATTTTTTAAGATGAATTTCTTTTGTCAGAATAAATTATGTTCATCACAGAAAACCATCCCTCAGTCTCCAGCCTTACAATGCAATTGTATTAGCTATTTAGCTATTACAGCAATGTTATTAGCTATTTAGCTATTATTAGCTAGTTAGCAATTGCTGCAATGTTATTAGCTATTTAGCTTTTACAGCAATGTTATTAGCTATTTTGCTATTATAGTAATGGTATTAGCTATTTAGCTATTACAGCAATGGTATTAGCTATTTAACAATTACAGCAATGTCATTAGCTATTTAGCTATTATATATCGGCTATTAATATATGAGATTATATTCGGGTAATCCAACAACCGCTCTGCTAAGCTTTTATATTTTTAAGAATCTGTTCGCGCGAACCGGTGGAAAATGATAGGATACCAGCACTGGATAAATGTATACATCATTTTTTTTTTTTTTTTTTTTTTTTACCATTCCTAGTGTTCATATTATTAGAGTAATGGTTGCATTTAAATGCCAAATCGTTACATTTTCTGTTTACATTCTTGGGGGACTTTTTCGCGACTTTGGACTTCTCGAGGTACATTTCTTCTTCTTCTTCTTCTTCTTCTTCTTATTATTATTATTATTATTATTATTATTATTATTGCTGTTGTTGTTGTTGTTTTGTCTTTGTTCGTCTGAATTTGTTTTCCTGTTCTACATCTCTTTTCTTCCCACTCTTCTTCTTCTTCTTCTTCTTATTATTATTATTATTATTATTATTATTATTGTGTACTTACTTCCTCTAATTAAGAGATGAAATGTCCTCACTCACCACAGAGCCTAAAGTTATTCGACAAAGGCTTCAGTCGCCGGCCTCACGCACTCATTCGTCGCGTCTCCACCGGAAACCAAAACGAGACTTACGCAGTGGCGGGGAAATCTTTCAGAAGACATGTCAACGAATGGGTGAAAAAAATGAGGATGAAGAGGAGGAGAAGGAGGAGGAAGAGAAGGTTAAATCCGAAAACGGTGACGTCATTACCTCCTCTTGGGCGTCCCAAGCTGTTGCACCGATCATCTCCTGGTCAAACTCACTGAACCCGAGTATTTGGTTACAGACGTACCTTAAAAATAACTTTGCGCTATTTATTTTCATAGTTACTTAGCTTGCAGAAGCTCAAGGCCAAAGTGCTGGGGAAATAACTTAGTCTGTGATAAAAGGTGGAAAGGTTCAAGTCGTTTCTTTTTTTATCGTTCTACATCTTAAAGTGAACCTCGAATGTTTTACTCATAAATAGTCAGAGAAAAAGCCAAACTCGGAAAACAGTCACAATTTTTTCTCATGGCGAGTAAAATATTATTAAAAAATGTCACGTTTAATTTACAGCAATTACATTAGGATAAGTCATAAGTAATTTCCGTTAACTGAACTTTACTTAAATAGAAGATAAATGATCTATCTATCTATCTATCTATCTATCTATCTATCTGAAATTTGTTACTTAGCTGATTGATATTACCTTAAGCATCCCGACTGGAGAATTTCTTGGACGTGCCCCCCAACAATCACTCCGTTCACATAAGGAGATCTGTCTGCTTGCCTGTCTGCTTGCCAGTCTGTTAGGTTGAGTCATTAGTAATTTCCGTTACTGGGAATCAGTTGTAACAACGCATGTATCACATTAGCTGCTAATCCTAAGTGGCAATTAATAATTTGGAGTACACTGTCTTACTTAAGTTTTTACAGGGCATGGGGGGGTTTACTGCTACATCAGGTTGAAACAGCGATTTCCGTACGATCACCGAAGTTAAGCAACGTCGAACCTGGCCAGTACCTAGATGGGTGACCACTTGAGAATATCAGATGCTGAAAACTTGGATGTGCAGGTGGTATAAGGATAATGGCTTGGGATTTTTAATCGGAGAGCCGAGTTCCAATTCCAGTTGGAAATTCAAAAAAAAAGATGGGAAAAAGATACGAATCCACCTAAGAATCCCCAGCTATGGGTTAATTAGTAAGATGTGTATCACTAAATCATTATTATGTCCCCCCCCCGCAAAATTCTTACAACCGAAAAAAATATTTCCCGTCTTTAAATAACCTGCAAAAGGTTGATAAGTCGTAAAAACGAATCAATCAATCGATGAAATACGGATTAGTTCCGCAGGTATGACTTATTTTGTATTTATTTACATTCTCTGGAATATGTGGTTAGAAACAACGACGGCCACAAAATGAGGGATCAGTTTATATAGTGATTGTCATATAGAATTGATCCCTCACTTTATATTCACATTATAATTACTTGTTTGCTGATTGGGCATTAAAAAAAATCTTGTAATCTAAAAATATTTCCCATCTACGCAGACATGTCTTTTAGATTTATTTATATTCTCTGAGTTATAAAGGTATAGAAACTACCGTGGCCACAAAGTGAGGGATCAGTTTGTATATTGATTGTAAAATAGACTTCATCCCCACTTTATATCCACAGTATAATTTCTTGTTTGTTTTTCTAATTATGGATAGGTATGAATCCGACTCTTCTCCCCCAGCTATGCGTTAATTAGTAAGATTTGTATCATTAAACCATTATTATCTTAAAAAAATCTTGCAACCTAAAAATATTTTCTGGCTTTAAATAACCTGCAAAAGGTTGATGAGCCTTAGAAAACAAATCAATTAACCAAGCAAGCAAGTAGGACGATGGAAACATACACAATGAATTGAAGGAAAATGTCGCCTCCTCCAAGACAGCGCAAGATCGTATACAGCAAGAATAACAATAGAAATAATTTTGGAATACACTTAGCCTGTTCTACCTATAGCCGGTAAAAAAAAAGTCACAGAAAAAAAGCCACATTTTTGGCTAGGAAAATTTCACAATTACTTTATAGTGGTTGTTAAGAAAGTCCTCTATTTCTGTTGAGTACTTCACTAATGTATGCGTCCAACTCTATGCGCAACAGAAACTGAGGATAAAACGATCCAACCTCTAAAAAACGTTTTCTAACAAAAACATTAAAATTTGAATTTTTTATTTATGAAACTAGAATGTTGTCCACTTTTGGAATAAGAGGCTGAAATTTTGTCCATTTTTGGAATAAGAGGCTGTAATTTTGTCCACTTTTGGAATAAGAGGCTGAAATTTTGTCCACTTTTGGAATAAGAGGCTGTAATTTTGTCCACTTTTGGAATAAGAGGCTGAAATTTTGTCCATTTTTGGAATAAGAGGCTGAAATTTTGTCCACTTTTGGAATAAGAGGCTGAAATCTTGTCCACTTTTGGAATAAGAGGCTGAAATTTTGTCCACTTTTGGAATAAGAGGCTGTAATTTTGTCCACTTTTGGAATAAGAGGCTGAAATTTTGTCCACTTCTGGAATAAGAGGCTGAAATTTTGTCCACTCGGTGCTAACCATTGTCCCGTTGCTTTCTTTCTTTCTTTTTTTTTTCTGTGATTTTTTTTACCTAGATTCGTTCTATCCCAACCCGCTATATTCACCTGACCTTACAGCGGCCGGTATATTACCTTTCCTCGATCGCTGTTAGACGCTTTGACCGTGAAAACTTTCTCGAATGAACGCCAGATTCAAGAATCCGCCTAAAAACTTTTTCACATCAAAACATTTTTTTTTCTCAAAAAGTATCAAAGCCTGATAAGTGGCAATAAGTCAATGTAAATAACGGTGAATATATATATTTAATTATTTCAAGCAATGCAATAAAGCCACTAAGACACAACGAAAAACATTAAGGTGCGAGAACAGTAAAAGAAGAGCAATTAGGAAGACAGTAGATAACGATTGACATTTCATTTAGATTTTTAAAGATCAAAGTTAGCTGGGATGCAAGAAACACAGGTGAGAAGTGCGAGAAAAGAAACTGTTAGCATAGAATTTATGGTTACATCTAGCCATTTCAACTATAAAATGATAAGACCTAGCTGCCAATCTAGTACTGCACTTAAATTCATAAAGTCTAGGTACCAAAGAGGAAAGCTCATCAGAACAATTACCATGAAAGTATTTATGGCAAAGGTACAGGGAAGCTACATTACAACAGTGGGAAAGTTACTGAAGCCGCGATGCCAGGTCAGGACCAATAACATTGCAAATTCTTCTTTGGATAAGAACAAAGTTGATAAACAAAACAGAAAATCATTTATGACTCAACCTAAAAGTTATAAAATAATTAATATTTTAATGAAGCAAATACTGGCGATAAAAGTCTTATTTCATTTACAATCAGGGCCGGTGCATACTACCTCCGATGGGGGGGGGCGTTAAACCTGATTGGGGGCCCCGGGCATTGCTTTGTGTCTTATCCACTTTGCTTTTTTCTCTCTACATTTATATACGCGTTATAAATTAAACTAAACCCAACAGCCTATTAAAGAATTATATTTTTTAACGGATTTTGACGTCATTCTAAGTTTTTTGTCCAAAGCCGTGAATTTGTTTTTTGCCCATGTTAAGTCTCGAAAAAACACGATATAAAATTCACTTTTTTTTATCCAAAATGTTGAATGCGTTAAAAATTCTTCAACGTTTTAACAAGAAAAATCTCAAATTGATATAAAAATGGCGGCAAAACATTGTTGATTTACTTAAGATGGAATGATCTATTATGACATGTCTCTAATTTATATTTAGATGCATTGTATTTATTATTTATTTTTCTAGTTGAATTGTTCACCTGTATTGCATATGATTCATTATTGTGCATAATTAGGTTAGAATAAAATTTGCATTTTATATGAGCCCTTACCTTTTGAAAATTGAGATGTAATAGAGTGTGTGCGTGTGATAGATTGGAGGATATCATAAATCGGCGGGGGCGGGGGGTCTATGCGATCTTTGCGCCGGCCTTGTTTACACTAACAGAATAATTAAATACATAGACGTTCAAGTCGAATAAGTAGGCACATTTAACGATCTGTGTCTTAACGATCTGTGTTTTAATTATGGACAGAAAATTCAACAGCGAAATTCGGAGGCGCATTGGAATAACGAAAGATGCCTTCCAGAAGCTAAGTATTGTGATAAATGAAAAATTCATTGCAAACGTTCTATTACTAAAGATGCTGGGAAAAATCTGTCTGTATTTCTGAGATGAGGTATTATGTACACTATTTACATTTTTCGGATTATTGTCATCATCTTTGTCGCCATATTTACTACAACGTTTCGGCTCTTGTACGCTCCGGCCTTCTTCAGGGGTTTGAAATGTCGAACAGAACCCTTTATTTCGCTCACTGGGATAGACTGTTCTAGTTCCACGTGCCATGTCTAATGGATGTCAGTTATCAGTTATCTCCTGTTAATTCCCCTCTCCAAGTTCTCCACCGACTTAACCAGGTATTAAACTCACACTCTTTGGGTCCTGTCACTGGATCTAACCAACGCCTTGATCCACTGTGCCATAGGTCCTTGGGGAAAATGTTTTATTCACTGTAGTGCTCTAGTAAGTATCTATCCCGCTGCTACAAACTATCTTTATAAGAGCCAGACCAGACCAAGAATGGTATGTTGCTGCCATATCTGCGTTGGAGCTTCTAAATCCTTACTTTCCTGTCTTGATAGAGCTCAAAAGTGCCTACGCGGACTTGTAGGTGATGAATTATTTTCCATCTTTCAATCCTAATACAAGCTAGGCATATAAAAGCGAATTTATACATTTTCTTTATTTTTGAGAATTGACAACAAAAATAATAAACATCTTTATTTATTAATTCATTTACATTATTTATCTATTAGATTGTTTATTGGAATGGTTGACAAACCTTCGCTTAATTGTCAGTTGATTTAAACTTAATAAAATGGTAAAGAATAAGGATTTCTTTATAGTTGGTTCACGTATTTTAATAATTTAGTAAATGTTTATAAAATGGCGAATAAAAATTGTTTTCATATCTCTTTATGAATTGGTAATGATTGCATTAATATAATTGTATTAATTTTTTGAATGTTGGAAATATAAAATTATTCTTGTAAATAAAAAATCTAATACATAGTGTTTAATATTTTGGTTAAAAATTCTCAAAAACTAAAAAAAATGTATAAATTCATTTTTATATGTTTAGGTTTTATTACAATTCTAATCATCGCTTTTTAAAACAATAAACAAAACTGAGGAGTGAAGGTAGTTAAAATAATAGCGCTGTCATGGCAAAACCGCCCTTTTGACACTCCATTTTTTTTGCAGACACGAAGGTTCATTTGTAACGAAAATCAGAAAATCACTATTAGTTGTTGTTGTCGTTATTATTATTATTATTATTATTCCTTTGATTTCTGGTGTGTACACATTTCTTTCCGTGTTCCGACCAGAGATCTAAGGTTAGAAGTGGCATCATGACATTTTCCACTGACAAAAAAAAGAAGAAAAAATTTTTACATAGACAAAGCCCTTCGTTAGGTGTGGCCTGTACTCGTGAGAACAATTTTTTGTATTTCTTTAAGGCATGGGCTTCCAGGAATCTTTTCCAACCAATCCGAGGGCTCCAACTACAACAGGGATTGTTGATGTTCCCATATGCCACATTTTTAAGATTTTGATTTCAAAGTCCTTGTATTTTGACAGCTTTTTGAAGATTTCAAAGATACATTGCAGTCTGCAGGGACTGCCATATCAATAAGGGGGCACTTTTTTTGTTTTCGGTCTCATCATTATCTTTTTTCCTGTATATTAAGACGAGTGTTTCCTGAAAAATGCCGTAAAAATCATCCTGCATCTTAGCATTGAAAGGTCAAGTTGCAGAGGAAAGTTTACCAACCCTCACGTAACCCCAGTCACACGATATAAGCAACCACAATCCCCAGACATATATAACTAAGTCTCCAATTATCATTCATATATTCATAGTATTCA